TTTTGAACATCTTTTTGTTGTGTCATGACCGATGAACAGGGTCAAAGGTTAATGGGCAGTGAGGGCGGGTTCATAACATGCCCATTAAATTAAACTCAGGGCAGAAATGCCTCCATAATTAGCAGTAACAATTTTTGCATGTAATGTTTTTTTTGACAGACTTGTTAAATATTCAGACGCTATTACAACCCCTGGTCCCTTTGAGTTATTCTGCTTTGGAATAATAAAGTCTTTATTCTGGAGTTTGCAGATGTGAAAAGGATAAAAAGAGTTGCAGTAGTGCAGAGACAATCTGTTTATGTGACATGGTTTTAACAAGTTTCACTGCAAAAGGAAATTGCATTTACTGAAACATAAGAAATGCAATCCATCATCCTAAAAATCCACTTTTACATCAACAATTTCACATTTATTAAACAAAGATCTAATAGAAAAGATGTGTGAAAAACAAATTACATTCTATACCTCAATAGATCATAATAACTTGTAGTATTTTTTTAACCTGTTGGCCTTTTCTATTGTTATGGAGGAATTTTGGCTTTATCACATTGCATCAGCTCATATTTTTTTGCTCTCATCTAAGAAGTTATTGTAAGAATCTGAACTTTGACTGGGCCATTACAACACACTGATTCTTCCCTTTTGAGGCATCCAGTTTTAGATTTGCTGCTGTGTCCTGGATCATAGCCCTTTGGTGACCCAATTCAGGCCGAGCTGCAGCTGCTGGACAGATGGACTCACATTTGCCTCTGGAATATGTCGTCAAGGTTCTTATGGCTGCAACACAAGAAAAAGAAGAAAACATTTCTTTACAACTGTGCCTTATTGTTGGAGATTTTTCAAAAGTCTTAACTGTCATTCAGGTGCAAATCTAAGTTATTCTGTTTTATTCTCTTTATGGATATGTCCACAAAAGTTCATTCATGTAAAGTCCGTTTCTAATTTTCCTGACATAAACTGTAACATTTCACATGATGTGCGAAGAAAAGAATTAAAGATTTTTATTTTTTATTTTTGTCATTTCTCTGAATTCTGGCAGCTGTCTTGTGGTTTCTACTTTAAAAGTAATTTTTCATTTTTAAAATGATTGATCAAAATTGTTTTGTAATGCCATTTTATCCACTCTCAGATTGAGTGGGAACAACAGGTCTTTACTGATGTCTTTCTCCTTGGGATTGTGTTAGTACACATCTATATGCTCCGTACCAGAAAACTGAAAAAACTCCTGCCTTTATTACACAAGTCAAACTGAGGATAATCATTTATGTAGTGTA